ACGTGACAATGGTTAATGTATATGCACCGACGGAAGAGGCTGATGAAGAAGACGTTGAAAGATTCTACGGAGAACTACAGGATGTATGTGATAAAATCCAAAGACACGATGCTGTTATAACGTTAGGCGATTTTAATGCTAAACTGGGGAAAGAAGAAACGTTTGCAAATATATTTGGGAAACACAGTTTGCACACTGAAACCAGTCAAAATGGACTCAGGGTGGCACAGTTCGCAACAGCAAATAATTACGTAGTTGTCAGTACTAACTTCCAGAGAAAATATATCCATAAAGGAACATGGAAAATACCAGGAACTAACGAAGCCAATCAAATTGACCATATACTCATCTCAAAAAGATGGGCAACAGACATAACTAATGTCAGAACGTATTGCGGGGCGAACTCTGACTCAGATCACTATCTTGTAGGGGCAAAATTACGGCAGAAAATAGCGACAGTAGCAAAAGGGAAAAATATTCAAATCAAAAAATGGAATGTCGAAGAATTCAAAAGTGCAACTAAGAGACAAGATTACAGAAATGCTCTCCAAATAAAACTCAACCGAACTAGAGAGGAAGATACTGCAGAGGAGGAATGGAGACAATTAGAAACAATTATAACAGAGTCAGCAGAGGAAACTGCCAAAAGGCAAAGTAATGCGGAATGGTATGATGATGAATGCAGAACTGCAGTAGAGGAAAAAGGCAAGCTAGGCTTAACCAACTTCAAAGAAACACAAGAAATAGCAGTGAGATTTATAACGAAAAAAGAATACAAGCGACTAGAATATGCAGAAGAAAGAAAAGAGAGGCTATGAAAAAACAAGTACAAGGAATCGTAAAGCATAACAATAGACGCGAAAGCAGAAAATTCTATAAATGCATAAAAGAAAGCACACAGCCATTTAGACCAAAACTAACGATATGCAAAGACAAGGACCGAGAACTACTAACAGATAAGCAAAAAATTATAATGAGATGGAAACAATATTTCGAAGAAAATCTAAATGCAGACAACGAAAATGATCAGAACGAGACAATATATTATACGGCCGAGCAGCACATCGAAAATCCGAGTTATGAAGAAGTAGTTCAGATAATAAATAAACTAAAAAACAATAAAGCACCAGGAACGGACGGAATTTCGGCAGAATTATTAAAGCATGGAGGATCCGAACTCTGGGAAAGAATCCATTACCTAATAACATTAATATGGACGAAGGAGCAAATGCCAGAGGAATGGACAGTTGGCCTCATATAGCCAATATATAAAAAAGGAGATAAGAGGGAATGCCAGAATTATAGGCCAATTACATTGCTAAGTAATATACAAAATTCTTTCTGGTATAATCTACAATAGATTATTAGAATACTCCGAAAATATAATTGGTGATTATCAAAATGGATTCAGACTAAATAGAGCCACTACAGATAACATATTCATACTAAGAACGATACAAGAAAAAGCTTATGAATACGACATAGACTTATATAATATGTATATAGAGTTTAAACAATCTTTTGATAGTGTGAAAAGAGACAGAATGCTGGAAGACCTTTATAATCTAGGTATACCTAAGAAATACATCAGCTTCATAAAAATGACGTTGCAGGGTTCAAAAGCCGCAGTCAGAGTAGATGGAGAACTGACTCCCCTGTTTAACATCAACATGGGAGTAAGACAGGGAGATGCCCTATCAACCATGCTATTCAACCTAGTTCTTGAGGCAGTCATCAGAAAAACCAATATAACCGGCCATATAATCACCAAATCAGTACAAATTACTGCATATGCAGACGATGTAGCCATCATTAGTAGGAATAAGCCACGACTAATGAAAGTGTTCAAACAAATTGATCCTGAAGCAAGAAAAAGAGGTCTCAAAATAAACGAAGCAAAAACGAAGTATATGACAGTCAAAAGAATAACTGACAATGAAAATAATATCACAATAGACAACTATACTATCGAACGAGTGGATGCCTTTACATATCTCGGCACAGAAATCAATCAGAAAAACTCTGTAAGTAGCGAAATTAATACACGTATTTCCAGCGGGAATCGTACATACTATGCTAATAAAAGATTGATGACATCGAAATTATTAGACAAAAGAACCAAAATGGCTATCTACAGAACACTGATTTTACCCGTAGTAACCTAAGGATGTGAAACTTGGGTAATGACGAAAAAAGATGAAGCCCAACTTAGGACATTCAAGAGAAAAATACTGAGGAAAGTATATGGTCCGGTACAAGAGGAAGATGGCACATGGAGAATCAGGAGAAACGACGAGGTTAATGAGTTAAATGAAGGTTATGACATTGTAAGATTTGTGAAAAGTCAAAGACTGTCATGGCTGGGACATGTGCAGAGACAAAACGATGCAAAAACAACAAAGAAAATGTTACAATGGAAGCCCATAGAAAGGCGAAAAAAAGGAAGGCCCAGAACGAGATGGTTGGATGACGTGGAAGACGACCTGAAAACAATGAACATAAGACAATGTTGAAGAAGGGCACAAGAGAGCTCTAAATGGAAGGACATAGCCAGACAGGCAAAGACCCATCCAGGGTTATGATGCCAAAAGAAGAAGAAGAAGAAGGTGCTGCAAATTAGTATCAGTTATTCATTCTAATGTAAAAAGTTTTTTATTATTATTTTTTTATTTTTCTTTAAGTATTTTTAACTTTTAAAGCAACAAAAATTTCCACAAATTTTTTTATAGTAAATAAAAAATTATACATTTACATAGTTATTTATTATTTTAATAGAAAACAAATAAACATGAACAGTGCACTGGTAGCATATACAATATATTTTAAATTTAATTTGAAACAAAAAAATTATATTCTACATAAACAAACAAAATTTAACCAAAAATTAATACTAATTTTAAAAAACTAACCGGCACCGTCTGTACATCAACATATTTTATTGGAGAAGAACGTTTTTCTCGTATTTGTCAATTTTACAATAATAATACAATTATTTATCTGTTGCTGCCAGCGGCAAAATTCGTTTCGATCGTTCATTCATAATTTTTCACAATTCTCTGGGAAAAATTACCTGCTAAATTAAATATGCAACCAAACCATAATAATAAATCCGAGAACCCCAAAAACCGGTCGGTAAGGTTGAATGTCGGTCGGTGAACTTCTACTAAAACGGATCGATATGTATGTATCTATGTTTCAAATAAATATATATATTTTGGCAACATCTCGTGATACTGTATTGACGCAAGACACAATGATTTGACCTATAGGGAGTTAAAATGTCTGTTGAATGTAAAAAAATAAATATATAAAAAAATCGATATATTAAAAAACTGACAACAATGTCAAGCCTAAAAAGATACAGTAAACGAATATACATGACTTATAATTTGAATATGATAGTATTTCTTGGTGATGCTAAATTACTGCAACGTGAAAAGAGTTCCAAATGATGGTGGGATGTATATATATATATATATATATATATATATATATATATATATATATATATATATATATATATTATATATATATATATATATATATATATATATATATATAGTGAAAAGGAGATAATACTGGGAGATACCCTTTTATAACTATAACTGAGGAAGCAAAATAAAACTAGGGTGCTTCGTTAGATGTGCTTTTTAATTAAAGGTCTAAGCTTTCGTCAATGATTATTGACATCATCAGAGTAAACTACAAACAAACGAGAGAACAAACAATGAACAAGTGGAAACTAAGTATACAAATTTATAACACTTACCCTAATTCTAGCAAGTAACTCAGTGACTTGGGTTGAACACAAAGAAAGTATTATCTATGTATGTATATATTAAACATAGTTGCAGATACATAAAAAGTGGTATCCATAGTTTACAATGTGTTTTTTTATTTATTAATAACGATATATTTACTATAAATCTAACCACAAACAATTGAAAAATTTACACGTAGTTTAAAACAATCTAAAAGTAATTAACAATTTACGGCGGTGTCACTAAACTGGCATTTTTCGCATTATAAATGTAACACATCTCAAGTATTTTACGCTGAAAATCTCTATTAGATACATCTAAGATGAATGTGTCATTATAGAGGGCTCTGTGGTCTTTGCTATTGACGTGAATACTAAGACTTGTAGATTGTGGTTTGAGTCTGCAATAACTTTTATGAAGGGCCAATCTTTTACTTAACCTTTGGCCAGTCTGACCAATATAAACTAAGCCACATTCACATGGGATGCCATATATTACGTTTTAACGTTGTAAGGTGGGAGTAGGATCTTTTAATCGGGTGTAAAACAAGTTAAGTGTTTTTTGGTTGTAAGTAGATATTTTTATATTGAATTCACTGAATAAACTAATGAGTGATCTAGATAGATTTTGTATAAAAGGTAGTTTACCATATCTCGTATGAGTATCAACTAGAGTAACATTCTGATTTGCATCTTTGTTTACAATAGGATTAGAGAATAACAATTTGTTAAGCAGTTTTTTTGGATATTGATTAGATAACAATATTTCATATAAAATTTTAATGTTTTTGTTAACAAATTTAGGATGGCAAATCTTAGTGATTCTATTTTTCATTGCTAGAACAACATTAATTTTCTGTTTTTCGGGATGATAGGAATTGTATGGAATAAATGTACTTTCAATAATCACCTCGTTTTCTTTTTTAATTTTTTTAATTCTTTTTGTTCAAGTCTTTTTCTTTTTGGGTTGAGTCTTTTCGCGTTCGGTTGCGTTTCGCCCACCCGCATACTTAGGTCACGAACCGCCACTGTAACTAAATATCTTTCTTTGACATAGGATAGATCAACTTGTCCAATGTGGTATTTGCCCTGAATCAGAGAGCAAGATTTTAACAAACAGAGTAAAAATTTCACGCTACACCGGTTGATTATCGATGTATTGATTGCAATAGCATACTTTAATTTGAAAAGAAAAATTTTTATTAGTCTAATTTGTTGGTCTTAAATCGTAAAAACTTACCTTTTCGGTCATGTTGTAATTTGTTATAATACCTTCTTTAATGAATAAACCATAATCTTTATAGAACTTTTCGTACTCTTCTGGATTCTTTTTCAGCTGTTCTTGTAGAAATTTCAAAACTCTTGCTGTCAGAACGTCACGTAACTTGCTGAAATTTACAAATGGTAAATGAGTTGAATATTGAGTTGCATGGAAAAATAAAGGATTAAGATTTTCGCGACCGAGCGGGGTATTTTACGTATTCCATAATATGCGGCTTTTTAATAGCTTCGCATTTTTTGAGAAAATATAGAATCAAGTTCTTTTTTATAAAAATGATTTAAATTAGTTCGAATTTTCCACAAAAATTAAATTAATTACGTGGGATACTTGTATTACTATTAGTCATCATCATCATCATCCAGCCCCATTTTCACATCCATTGTTGGATATAGGCCTCATCCAAACGTCTCCAGTTCTCTCTATCTTTAGCTGCTGCAATCCATTAATATTAGTATTTATTTTATATTACAGGTTTTGCGTGCCCTTTGTTGCAACGCGTACTTCATCATCATCATCAGTAGCTCGACAACCTTTTCTGTGACCTGGCTTGTTTTAGAATTTTCCGCCTTTCTGTTCTGTTCCTTCCTTTGTTTTTCCAGTTCGAAATCTTAAGTGTTCTCAGATCTTGTTCCACTTGTTCTATACATCTAAGTTTGGGTCTTCCCTTTGACCTTCTCCCTACTGGTGTTTGCCTTTTTATATGTTTTGGTATTTCAGTTTCAGTTCAGTATGTGTTCTTCTCTTAACTTCTTCACTGACATTGTTATCTGAGGTAACTGGTGAACCTAGATATGTACGCTGTCGATTTGCTGGACATCATACATTTGGTTTTTATTTCATTGTGATGTTGAATAGAATACAGGATATGGCATCTCCCTGTCGTAGGCCCATTCTCACATGGATTGTATCTGTTAGAGCGGTTTGAATTCGAATTTTGCTTTGTACTTTAAGTATTTCTTTTACTATATCAATGCGTTGAGTTGGAATATTAAACTCTTTCAGTGCATGGATCAGAAATTCTTGATTGATGCTATCATAGACACTCTCAAAATCAATGAAAAGATGATTTGTGTCTATATTAAATTCACTAGTCTTTTCCAAGATTTGCCTCAAGAAGAAGATCTGATATCTATTGTGAACTAAACCACATTGATATCCCCCAACTATTTGTTCCGCATATGGTCTCGACCGATTATACACAATATTTGACAGTATTTTATATGCCACAGTTAGTAGCGTTATTGCCCAGTAGTTTTCACATTGAAGCTGATCTCCCTTTTTATGTAGTGGGATAATTACTCCGGTATTCGAGTCTTGTGACAGTTGTTTATTATTAATTACGTGTTTATTATTAATATATGTTCACTATTAGTTCGTGTATCTTCAGTATTTTCAGTCTGTTAACTGCTTCTTGCCTTTCAGCTACTGAAGGAGGATTGTTTATCTGAAATCCGTTTGATCTAGTATAATTCCATCATATAGTGGATCTTCGTTTTTTTTTCAAACTTTTCTTTGAAGAATTCTCTCCATCTTTGTAGATTTCACTCTGTTGAGTTACTATGTCTCCTTCTTTGTCTCTGCACATCATTGTTCTTAATTTAAATTCTTTTCTGCTTTTCTTAAGTTTTTGGTAGAATTTTCTGTTTTCTGATGGTTTATTTAGTTCTTCCATTTTTTGGAGTTCTTTTTCTATGTGTTCTCCTTTCTTTCTGCGATGTATTTTCTTCTCTTCCCTCCTTAGCATTATATATTCCTCCTCTGCCTTTCGTGTTATATGTCGTTTTTTTAGTCGTTGATATGCATTATTTTTCCTCTCTGTTATGTTACGACACTCTTCATCGAACCACTGTCCTTCAGTTGTCCTTTTTTTGTAGACCCAGGGGCTCTTTGGCCGCGTCTTGTATGATGTTTTTACATGCTTCCCATTCTCTGTTTATATTCTCATGCTTTTGTCTGTTTTCTAGCCTTCATTTTATATATTCTTTGTATTTTGGATCCTTTTTCTTTCTTAATGTTTGAGATTCTGGCTCTTATTCTACTTTCCACTAGGTAGTGATCCGAGTCTGCATTTGCCCATCGTCTGCTGCATACGTTTATTCTATATTATTCAGTCTAACTGATGTCTACAGTCAATAATAATATGACCGATCATGTTTACTATAACCTCATCTGGTGACCTCCATGTTCCCTTATGAATATTTTTTCGCTGGAAGCATGTGCTGGCAATGACCATGTTAAGGGACGTTGCTAGATTTATTAGTCTGATGGCATTGTCATTAATACCTCATGAAGGCTGTGCTTACCTATAGTTGGTAGGTATTGTTTGCTCTTTTCCTATTTTTGCGTTGAGATCACCATAAATAATTTTGATGTCAATCTTTTGAATGAATGCAGCATTGAGGCATGAATGGTATGCAGCTTCTAGTTCTTCATAGAATTTTTTTTACATAAAAGTCTTTAAAACTGAACCCGGGAAGCGTGTCCAGGATGGGTTTTTGCACGTCTGGATCTGTCGTTCCATTCAAACCTATCTTGTGGCCTTCCGAGTCATCCAACTATCTCGTCCTAGGTCTTCTTTTCTTTCATCTTCCAATGTAACATTTTCTTTGTTGCTTATATATGTTCTTGTTTTTAGATATGTCCCAGCCAAGACAGCCTCTGACTTTTTACAAATCGTACAATATCGTCTTAATTCTCTTCATTCAATTCATTAATCTCTTCGTTTAATGGAGTAGAAGTAGAGGAAACGAAATTATCAAGCTGGACCTCACCAACTGTGATTGCTTCTTGGTTGGATAGTGCAACATCAAATATTTATTTCTTGATGTTGTTATTGGACATGGTCCCAAAATGTCGACAGCAACTCGTTTCCATGGAGTCTCAGTGATGTATTCTTTGAGTTTTCTCATTTTGGACCCCGTCTTAGATGCGTACAGGTCACATCGTTTGCAATATTCTACCACATCTTGGCGACAATTAACCCAGTAACTCTAAGGCCAGAGTTATATGAGCCAGATCCTTTGATCTCTAGCCAGAGTCCCATTGATTCCAAAATGCCTCCTGGAACGGGTATCGTGGAGTTATGCACGCCCGATCTTTATATATATTCTTGGGAGAACAAATTAGTCAACTTCTCTCTTCAGCTTCATTTTTTTTTTTCGTTTTTGTCAGCCTCTTTTTCTTCTCTTTGACATTGTTCCATTACTACAATCATATCTAGAATGTCCTCCATCTTGGTTTCGCTTCTTGTTTTGACCATACAAATTGTATGCTTTTCACTTAAGGCCGTTCCTTGCGTTTCTGGGCATACCTAAGTTCCAATGTAAAAGTTTATATCAAATAACGCAAAAAGTATGGCAGATATTGAGATGATTCTTTTTTTATATGAAAGGTCTTAAAAAGTTCTAGTTCACTATTTAGTTGTAAATTAATAAATTGTTTAAACAATATTTTTTTTTTTCAAATATTTTTGGTTAAAATAAACGTAAAATTTTTTTTTTTTGAAATAGGGCACTACAGAATTTGACCCACTTTCCGAATCTGTTTTTATTTTTAACATAAAGTGTAACACAAAGCAGCTATTTGGTATAAACTTTTTTTAAAATCTCAAATTTTGCTAAATGTAACTTTCTCTCTCGGCCAGTACAGGCTGTCCTTGTCGATAGTTTCTGGATTCTCGTCGACACGGTTAGGTTGGTTAGGTAAGAAGTATAATACCCTCTCGAAGGTGGGTCATAAATAATGTTGAATAACATTATTAGGGTTTATTTCGACTTTTGACAAACCAGTGTGTTAATTGTTTTTAAAATGGGTAGTTCACGAAGAAGTTTATGTTCCGATTGAGGAAATTTTATATAAATAAGCAGTACCTATAATAAGTACCTATAATTTGATTAAATTTTTATATGAATAGAAATATTTTCTGTTAATTTGTAACATTTTTCTTCTAAATGTTTATACTGTTTTTATAATAATACTATTGTTTCAGTATTTGCTTATATAATAATAATTTATTATGTAGAAACAGCGTAGAATTTTGGTCAATCAGCCAGTACATTTTTTTGTATTTCAATCAGAATTATTATTTTCTTTTCTTCTTTACATAAAAGCTTAGAGTAATACTCAAATATTTTGCAGTATTTTGAATACGGAATTTGATTATTTATATTTATTGGACAATACCGAAATATTTTGCTGTATTTGAATATGGAATTTGATTATTTATATTTATAGGAATATTTATTTTCAACGTTTTTGTTAGTAAAGTTTACATAATATATGAAGTTTGTTTCTTCACTTGCTTGTCCAGCCATATTAGTCCAGGCTAATAAGGATTTTCTCGTGACACTCAATAATCCAGGTAGCTGACAACTTTTTTAGTTATTGTAGACCTATAAGAAGAAAACCTACCTGTTTCCTGCGTAAAGTTCGGAGCCGTTTTTTAATGATTAACAATTAATGCAAAAAACGCGATTCTTTCGATTTTTGCACTCTATTATTTATTTATTTATTTTTACGCACAACAGGCCGTTAAGGCCTAGAGCATTTTTTTTACAACATAATTCTAATATTAACTAATTACAATTATTTTAAACAAAACTTTAACGTAAATATGTATATATAACATTCTTAACTACTCTGAAGGACCTGGTGTAGAATATTTTTCCATTCGCTTCTATTTTGTGCTTTTTTTCCATTCCCTCACCTTCACGTGTTTAAGGTCTTCCTCCGCTTTACTAATCCACCTCGTTCTGGGTCTACCTCTTCTTTTGGGGTCGATTAATTTTCTGGTTATTACTAGTTTAGGAATTCTGTTTGCTGCCATTCTTTCCACATGTCCCAACCATCTGATTCTTTGTACCTTGACGAACTTGGTAATAGTAGGTTCTTTGTATAAAGCCATTAATTCATTGTTGGTTCTTCTCTCCCAACCATCTTCTGCCTTTCGTCCTCTGAATATGCATCTCAATATTTTCCTTTCCCATCTTTCCAGAGTATCCTCTTCCTTCTTATTTAATGTCCAGGCTCACCGGCATATGTTACTGTGGGTCGAATTACTGTTTTATATATTCTGAGTTTACCTTATCTAGAAACGTATTTTGAGTT